TATAGTTTTAATTTAGAATTAACTATATATTATAATGTATCAATATACATATAATCCCTTAAGTAATTTGAACAGTTCAAATTCTTCCAAAACTTTGATCCTCGTTTTACCCGTTATAAGCTAGCAAAGAGACCTAATGGACCTACAGATCAGAAGCTCCAACGATACAAGATTAATCGGCCAAACTCATTGACCGAGTTAATCAACATTCGTTAACTACGGATCACTCCACTAAGAACCCGCAGTTGCACTCTTCTCACTGCAGAATGTTATCGTGTCCATGGATATACGACCATTAATGACAAGTCAATCCTTCACGAGTGCTCGTAACTCAAGTTGGATCAAATTACCGTTTTACCCCTCTGTTACATCTTACTCCTTAAATACCACTGCTCCTCTAATGAACAACTCGTTTATGGTCCGGCCAATAACCAAAAGTCCCTCTTAGGCCAATGAGAGGGTGTGGCCCCTTGTTCAAGTCCCAGAGTCAGCATTTAAGAGAACACTCATCTACTCCTCTAAAGTCGGGGACGAGTGAATTACACCTTGTGAAGTTATGTTCCCAACTCCCCACTCGGTCTCGTCCCCAAAATGGTAGGAATGTTGAGTCGGCGACTCGGGCCACTCTCACCCATACAGATCAAAGGACGAGCCCTCACAAGCAGGAGTCCATAACTCACTCAGGATTGAGAATGAGTTGTCTGGTCATCCTAAGAAATAGAAATCTATTAGTTAACGGTGTTACATCTAAAGATTGGCTATTTCGCGGTCCGGTCTTATACAAACTCATTGTATAGGATACCCTCACTCGCATGTCTCCACACGAACGACTTGGATCGAGTCGCTTGTAACCTTTACAGAGTGGGCCGTATCCATAGTGTTGCCAGGATAAGGTATCCAGCCTTATCCATATACTATAGACCCTTTAGGTTATTCACGGGACATTATCCATTAATATATCAAGAGTATATCAAATATATACCTCGTATATCAAATATATACCCAGTATATATATACTGTCCCGATTCCATGATAATAACCTCAGATGTTTAGTTTATTGGATTTTGGACAATGCAATGCTATGAATTCAACAACAAATTTATTGAATAAAACTTTATTGAATATACAT